GAAATGAATGGTTGAAATTAAACTTTGATGCTAGTTATCCCATATTTAGATTAAGGCCAAGTTCACACAGCAGCAGAATACGGTTGTCAGTCCTGTATTTGAGTCCTTAATACAGTTAAATTCACACACAGTTCGGTTTACGGGTGTGACAACCGCATTCTGAAACCGAACTCACACCCGTAAATTTTCAGGACTCACAACCGCATTCTCGGAACACACGCACTGTGTGAACGGATCAGGACTGGACAACTAGTTGTCTGTCACGTCATACAGCAAGAGAGAGAGCCGCTCTGCCACACAAACGCGTGTTTACCGAGTGTTATGTGTTTTCATGTGTGTTTTAGGTAACTTACAGCGACGGAGAAATGAGCTGCGTTTCTGTCACCTGAAATTTTTCGATCCCGTCAGTTTTCCACCCGAGCCGCTCCTGTCAGTTTTGTGTTCTGCATGCGACTCAAATACTCTGCTCTCCACCCAAATTTAAAGGCTGCTGTCGGTTAATAAAGATTTGACAGATAAACTCGCGGATCGTTTGGACTCTTGTCGTGTCAGGAAGTGATAAGACTTTCAGTTTTTTTGGACGTCGCCATCTTTGATTTTACTTTGGTCACTGTCGCTATGGTTACTGGTAAAGCCAGGCTCACACTACAGGATTTTTGGCTGGATTTTGCTGTCGTGGACAGATTTCCACAGTCTGCGACAAAACCCCCGGATCATGACCAAATCGGTGCTCGTTTAGCGGTCGCTGAAGCTCGTTAAGTATGAGCAGGTCAACAACGTGATCCAAACCTGTCTCGAGCTATCACAGACCCTACGATATTTTCAAACCTGTTTGATATTATCGCCACGTGATCTCGTAATGTGAGTGACACAATGACAAGGTGGAACTAATCCAGCCAATCACAGTGCAGATGATATACTCTTATCATTCATCTTTATGAACAGAAACGAAAAGCCCAAAATTCATCAAATTACTAACTAGAAATAAATTTAACAAATGCATATATTTTGTGTATATAATACCACGTTTCATTGAACTGTTTAATTACCTCCAACTCTTTCTGCAGTACTGACAGTCCACGTCTTCCAAGCCATTGTTTCTGCCATATTTTCTTTTGTCGTGGTTTCTTCTTTCTTTTGGATAAAATAACTGCACAGGCCAATTGAAGTGCCAATTGATCGTCCATGCTTGAAGAAATGGCCTATAGGCTAATCACTGTAATTTCTCGCGAGAATTTATATGAGAAAATGTATTTTCGCTGATGGTTGGGAACGCCTCTTCACTGAATGTTTTGTAGTGTGTGCACCTCATTAGCGTTGTGTTGTGCAGTATGCGCGCAGCTATGACAAGACGACGACAGATGAGAACAAATCTTCTTGCGTATTGTGAGCAACACAGTGATTCGGCTAGTCTTTCAATCCTGTAGTGTTAGCTTAAAGAATACGGGCTTGACTCCCATTGCACATTCATACAGACAGTACTCTAAACACAACTGTAAGCTGCTGTGTGAACGGGACATTTTGAGACTCACACCTGTAAAGAAAATGCGGTTGTCAATCCCCAAAATTGACAGTGTGAACGTAGCCTATGAGACTTTAGCTTGGATTTCACAGACAGGGTCACATTTAACCTGCATTTAATAAATTGCATTTAGCATTGTTTTTTGCCTACTGTCTGTGACCCTGTCAAAACCACTGAATTACTGTTTTAAATCGTGAAATTCATGTAAAAAAATAAAATAAAAATGATTTACAGTATGTAGTGACTTGGCAAATCTCAATTCAACTTTCCCCCTCTCACTACCTTGACCATAAAACCTGACAGCGCATTTCTGTGTTGATCTGAAAGTACATTTGATCTTAAATCAACGTTCAGACTTTCTTCCACCTCTGCGTTTTGGTTCATATAGTCTAGCATGTAGAAAGTTTCTATGGCCTGTATTCTGTTTCATGATTTTATGCTTCAGGCAGGCATAGGCATAGAAAACGCTCGGAACTGGTCTGTGATATGCAGGAACCCTCAATCACAGCCTCTCATTCTCCCTGAGTCATTAATCTCATATCTACGCTGTCTGTGTGTCTCAGCGTCCTGTTTAAAACCCCTTTTATGTGACTTGTATGCTGAGCATTTGACTGTGACAAAGTATTCATTCCACTTATAATCATTAATGATGTTATCTGGAGAGTTACAAAGTGTTGTGTCTGTCAGGGGCAGACGAGCTTGAAATTGAGAGGTTTTCCTCTTCATCATGGAGCTTTTAAGCATAATAAGCATAATAACTTCATTTGGAAAACAACTGTTGAATCTATTATGCCCAAATATGCATTTGTCCTGTCCGTTTCAATCAGTCCTTCAGGAAATGAAAGAAGTCATTCAAAATGTGTTCATAGATAACTGGAATGGTTGTCATGTGGGATTTTGATTGCTTCCATTGTCCTCATTTGTAAGTCACTTTGGATAAAAGCGTCTGCTAAATGACTAAATGTAAATGTAAATGTATATTGTTATTCAGAAGGATTGCAAAAATCAAAAAGAGCCTCTCATAAGCATTAATGTGATTTATTTCAAAGATCAGCATTAGTGTGTCCCAACAGAAGTGGACCATGCAGCCATGAATAAAGAATGCATTCTGTCTTTTAAGTCGCCATTTTAAATTGCTATTTGAAATCATTCCTGTTTTATATATTCTGTTTTTTCCTCCATTTATGTTCTAAATAGATCACAAGACATCCATGAAACAGAATGACAAGGAGCCCAACAAATTAGCTTGAGATACACTAAATGTTTAGATCCTAAAAGGAGCATGGTTATTCAGCAGACTGAACTAGCGGGACATCAGCCTTGAGGACCTTTTTCAGACTTTATTACAGAGTCAAAGCTGTTCTTATTAGTTCAGACTCAGTGGAACCTTGCAGTCTGGGAACTCTATGAATAAGCCTTTGTTATCAAAGTAAAAGGTGATTGTTTGCACTCAACGACTTTTCTTTTTGCTAAATTCCTTCACCTTTAAGCACAACTGAAGTGCGATCAGGAGTTTGGCATAAAAATCATAAAATGAGTATTCAGAAAAAAAAGAGAAGAATATAAAACGTGCACTTGTCAGAGAAGTTTGTATGTGCATTATGGAGAGAAACTTCTGCTTCTCAGTTTTGGTGGCATAAATGACCAAGCATTTCATCCACCGAGACTTGATGTAGCTGAGACCTTTTTTTTTTTTTTTTTTTTTACATTTTTGCCTGGCTGTACTAACTGTACATTATATGAGCCTACAAAAATAAATTTGTTTTGAAACTGGTATTTGACAGATTTTGCTCAAATTAATGCTGTTCTTTCCAGATTTGTATGAAGTGGCTCACTGCCATGGCTCTGCTCCTCTCTGCGTTAATGCAACAGCTTTTTCCATGCCAGTGCCTGCAACATCTCCTTAGATAAACAAACATCACTAAGCTGCCAGTAAACAGAACCATAGCCATGCTTTACCTAAACATACACTAAGCTTCTCCTCCAGAATCTCATCCTCTCTGCAGGGAGTATGTGTTATGTCAAGGTGAAATGGAGGTATTTTTAAAGTCGCATATATTTTTCTTGCCACCAATTTTTTTTGTGTGAATTGATGCACTTGTAGCAATAAGTTAATAAAAAAAAGTATTTATAGAAATGCAATGCAGTATGTTAAATTAGCAGGGGTTTGCGGTTTAAGCTAGTGATTCTAGTATCATGTTCTGACCAATGCAGAGTTATTGGTCATACCTGTCAGCAGAGACCACAAAAATTGTGTTTTTACTCAAAGTTCTACTCCCTAATTTATCATTATGAAAGAGGTGTTTTATTTTCCCCAACACCAAGTTGACCTTAAGGGAGCAATTTAATGAATGTAACTTGATGCAATGGCTCAACTAGATGTAGGTCTTTGGAGAGTTTTAGGTTACATACGTTTCTGGAATTAGATAAACAACCTGAAAAGGGAAATGGCTTAGTGACCAAAACAGTGAAAAAAGATAGACTGATAGACTGATAGATAGATAGATAGATAGATAGATAGATAGATAGATAGATAGATAGATAGATAGATAGATAGATGGCTAGATAGACGGATAGACGGATGGATAGATAGATAGATAGATAGATAGATAGATAGATAGATAGATAGATAGATAGATAGATAGAGATATATTTGAATAAAAATGCAAAATGATTTGGGAATAACCTAAATATCACCATGAACTTTATTAGAAGCAAAAAACAAATTACTTTTTGTCCAAAGGCGTTCGCATGCAATGTCACAAGTGTCCTTATTTGCTAAATATTTAAAAATATATATATTTAAATATCTAGAACTATTTTACAGTGTCCTTGTTACACGTTATATGGTCTTACTATAATAATAACAACAAGTTATGCATAATTACATTAAAGTATCCCTAATCCTAAACCTAAATATTACACTCTTAAAAATAAGGGTTCTTTATTGGCATCAATGGTTCCACAAAGAACCTTTACCATCCATGGAACCTTTTAATTCCACAAAAGGTTCTTTACAGTGGAAAAGGGTTCTTTAGATTATTAAAATATTCTTCACACTGAGAAACTGGTTCTTTTAAGAACTGTTCACAGAAAGGTTCTTTGGGGAACCAAAACTGGTTCTTCTATGGCATCGCTGTAAATTTTATTATTTTTAAGAGTGTATGTAGTTAATATGACTTAAATACATAACATGGACACCTTAAAATAAAGTGTAACGACATTTGAAATCCTTACTTTTCCTTGTTGTACATTTTTTAAAATCACAAAAAAAGTATTCATATCAAGTTGAACTGGTAAAAAAAATACTGATTTTTTTTTTGTGGTTTCCATATCCTACTTCAGGACCCCACTGTTCCTGCAGCTGCTCAATAATCGATACCTATGACTGAACTGATGATGCCATTGGTTTCTACCTGCCGCGATGCACTGCTGCTGGTAGGTTGGGCTGGTTGAGCGCATTTGAAAGAGTGCTGCATTGAGGCAGCTGCTTCCAGCTCCTCGACAGATCTCGTCTGTGGCAGACAGTGAGCCAGTGAGTGAGTAGCGAGCTCGTGCGCGCCAGCGACTGACACGCGCGGAGAGGAAGAACCAGCGTCCAGCGTCCGTTCAACTCACTTCGAGCACTGGCCGCTGTCCATCAGGACCTGCTCAAAATGATCCGGACCGTCCTCTGTTTCCTCGGATTGCTCGTCGGTGGCAGTCAAGGTATGGACGCGTGATTGTGAGAAGTGTGAGAAAATAGACTTGCTCTAAGCCAGCATTGCACTGAAGGGGTCTATCTGAATGAGGGGGACGTACGAGGAGTGGGGCGGATTTGTTGTGTGCTGCTTTGCAGTTTGGGCACGTCCCTTTGGAGAAAACATTTCTTTTGATAGATTAAGCTTACCTTTGATTAACAGCGCAAAGCCTCTCTGTTTGCACTTGTTCTCGTAGACTCGTGAGAATTCTCGCAGACGGTTCTCGGGGTGGTCTGGAGGAGATGTAGCGTTTGCTAGATTAAGATATGGATTGCATTCGATCGAATCGTAATTTCAGGCAAAACTTTTTTTTTTGCATTTACATGTACAAGCGTTTGTATCAAAGTGCAAATAATTGCGAAGCTTTGTATCGCAATTTACGTGGGGGAAAAGTAAAAAAGGACAGGTTTTGTTTGTATTTCTAGAATATAGATAGGATATATGTACATGGGATATAGGATACACACAGAGATACCTTTTAAGCTTATTTATTTATTAATATTAATCATTTAATTAAAAATATATATATATATATATATATATATATATATATATATATATATATATATATATATATATATATTCATTTATTGTACATGAAGCAGTTATTTTCTTAAGCCAACCAAAATAAAGGTTGCGTTTATGGGGGATTTGTGCAGATGTCAATCATAAACACACATCAGTGGATGTATGTAGTTTAAAACACGGCTCCGGTGACTCAAGCGCGCCTTTGAACTTGAACATCAGCTGCCAAAGTCTTGTGATGCGTGTATGTATTTTAGAGGCTGGTACTTCCCACGCGACGGCAGGTGGGGGTAGAGCGCTACATATTAACCCATTTAGAAAGCGCGACCACCATCAACAAGCACTATCGATGTGTGCCAAGACAGAAATGGAATGAACCTAGTGGGAAATCGTTGGATGGCAGAGCGTTCCTTGGATCTAAATGACGGCTAGTCTTCATCCAACTTCTGAGACCTCGCTTTTGATTACACAATGCAGGTTTGAATCAGAGCGAGGCTAGCTGACATGCCAGTCTACCGATAAACAATGCAACTACTGTAAATTCCACGCTGCCCCTACAAAATCACAATTTATGAGTGCATTTTCATATGGCACTTGGTATCAGCCACTGCAGTTTTCACAATAAGAGGTGAAATGGTCATAAAGTGTCTTGAATTGTGATCCCAGTATGACTGAAGTGTGTGTTTTGATCGATTGATTTTATTTTGTTTATTTTTTTTGTATTTATTTATTTATTGATATTTTGGAGGGATATTGGAATGCAGGTCCAACATAACCTAAAATGAACACACTTGCGGCCTTCAAAGGGGGGGGTTGAGCACATGCCAACTACTGTTTACAAGCAGGAAAAAATGTAATAAATAAATTCTACAATACCAAAGCACCATGTATGAAGGAACTTGAACAAATGCAAGTTAAAGTGATTCAAATGAAAAGCATACATGTTAAATATATGACCAAAATGATACAAAACTGAAATCCATTGATTTTTTATGTTAAAAGTGGTGGTTCGTTAACAAATCTTTCCCAAATCCCATTTGAAGAGCTTAACTGCTTACCTTCCTTAAACTGTCTACAGAACAAGCAAATAGCATTTTAGTGCATCCTATGGACTAGCATAGGGTGACCATACGTGCCATTTTCCCAGGACGCGTCCTGGCCAGGATTTGTTTTGGCTTTGTTTTGCTGTTTTCACGCTTGCTGAAGGTAATGATCGAAAAGTAGTTTGACCAATAACATGCAAGCATTGTACATAATGGACCAATCATGGCGTGTGAGAAGGTGGGATCTACGGTCAAAGCGATGCAATTATGCGTACATATTAGGTGTGTTCGACTTAAAAGCAGGCCGATCAGTGTTTGACATCAAAGTACATCGAGAGCGTTTCGAAAGCATAAGCGACTGTATGGTACTTTGATGTCATACACCGATCGGTCTGCACACGCAAACAAAGCCAAAACCTAGATATTTTAGGCAATATAGAAATCCTGGCCAGGACGCGTCCTGGGAAAATGGCACGTATGGTCACCCTAAACTAGCATGTCTTGCAGATAGCAGTTGGACTTGAAGGAACATCTCGTTCATGAATGAACTGGGATACATTGTTCTTGAGTGCAATGAATGAACTAATAATCTTACTTGAATATTTGCTGACAGACTCAAGGCATATTGTTTCTTCAGTTTGTCTTGTGTTGTAGAATTAAGAACGCTGTAAAAATGGCCTATGACAATATATAATTGAAACTCAGGACTATTATTACGTTGTCTTTTTTATGTAGATTGATGCAAGGATAATAAGACTTGATTCACTCAAGAACAACTATTAACAAAGTCCCTTTTACGTTGGCAATGATTAAATCACTGAAAGTCACAGATTTTCACACTGTACTGTTGGTAGTAGCTGTTCCCATTTGTCCCTGTATCAGGTGCTGGATCACTTGCTGGGATCCTAACATTAGTTGCCGGATCTGTTGCTGCTCTTTTGCATAAATTGACTCATGCTCTCTTTTTGAAAATTAATAACCTCCGATTGCTGTCACTGCCAATCGCTGTCATTGTGAACAACCCTTGAATGATTTAATGACTCATTGATGATACAAAAGACACTTAACTTGTCTCCACCAACCTGCAGAAAGGTTCACTGAATGAATCTTTTTTGGTCAAAAGATTCAAATTACTGATGTTAATTAAAATCCCCACTGCTAGTTTTAATGTAATGAACAATTTTTGCCCCGAGCAAGGTTGTGTCGGATATACATATACATTATGTATTAAGAATTTTATTTAGAATACATCAAGAATCTGCATGACGACTGCTTTTAATTTGAGCCAAGTACCTCACAAGCAGTCACATTATGATGTCACTCTTCTAGCATAACCACATCCCACTGAGAAGACTTTGTTAATTAGTGCCTCTCTTGTTGTCTTAGGAAGTTCTTTTGTGACTGACAGTTGCAGTGAACCTTGGCTTGTTCATCAGTTTATCATCAGTGAAATCTCTTGATGATATAGGCTTGTTAGAATGCGCGTGTGATGTCAGTTAAACTGTAATTTAGCTTGGTGTTCTCTCATGAATTTCATCACGGCACAACACCTGCCGCTTGGATGGTGCACCTCCAGGGCTGTTGCTAAAGTCGGCGTGGCCTGGGAATTTTTTGTTTTTATAGCTGATAGTCTCAAAAAAGGCTGTACTGTCTTTTGACTTGCTTTTTTTGTTGCAGGATTGTTGGATTGTCTTCAGAGAGGGAGAGCAATTTGCTGTGCTGATATCCATTAGTACTCTAGCTCTTGGCTCTCAGGTCTGTGTTATTGTAGGTTGGCTTATAGCTGTGTGTGTGTGTGTGTGTGTGTGTGTGTGTGTGTGTATCTAGCTTCATTGAAGCTCCCGGTGATAAATTGTGTGCAGTGCTGGTCTCAGTGGACATAGTCCTTCGAGGTGTTAAGTGCTATAATGAAGGGGCTCCTCCAAATATCCCAATGAATGCTAACAGTGGAGCATTAATAGATTTATGCCCTGGAATTGTACTCCGTATGTGTGTGTGAAATTGAATGTGTAGTGGTTTGATTAGAACACTAACATCCTCTCTGAGGGCATTTCTGTTGGATGTGGTTGTAAATGAGTGAAATGAAAGCGTGTGTGTTTGTGGGTCAGGATTTGCCTACATGGGGACCAAATGTACTTGCTGATAGTAAAACCGGAATTCAGCATGGCCTCCTCCATTAGGAAAACAGAATGCATACTAAATGCATACATTCTAAAACAACATGCTAAATAATGTCTTAATGAAAGTTTAAAAATGCAGATAGCATTCTGTGAAAGGTAATATAAGGGATAGAAAATAACATTAGATAAATACAAACACAATCAAAGTCAATGGAAGTAAAAAGGAGCCTTTCAATGATTTAGCTGTACTGAATCATTGTGCATTTGAGTTGTCAGCAATTTAATGTTACCTTTTCTTAAAGGGGTCATATGATGCTTTTTTAAAGATCATTATTTTGTGTATTTGGTGTAACAGAATATGTTGACATGCTTTAATGTTCAAAAAACACATTATTTTTCAAATACTGTACATTATTGTAGATCCTCTATGCCCCGCCATCTACTTTCGGAAGGCCAAATAAAGTGCTTTTGCTTTCGCCTAGAAACACACAGCATCTCCCTGACATGCTGCTTCAACACTAACTGCGGTTACTGAAACCACGCCTTCTTTCTTTGCGTGAACATTTGGGCAGCATTACGCAAATATTTCCACATAGTGAGGTAGATATGTGGGGTCGCGTTAGAATGAGCCATTTTAGGGGGGCGTGGCAGTCTTAACTTTGATAAAGAATATCTCTTTGGTTTTGAGACTTTAGTCTTTGCAACTTCAGGGATCTTATCTATGCACAATCAGCTTATAACACTCCAAAGAGAAAGGAAAACTTGAAATCGCATCATATGACCCCTTTAAGTAAGTGTGACAGTGTTCACTGCTTCAAAATATTAACAGCTGTTCAGGCTCTCATGGCTAATGTCTCAAATCATACTATGAATTTCAAAGGTTATTTTTTGTTATTGAACTTTCTATTCACCAAAGAATCCTGAAAAAATTAGTTTGCCCCCAAAATAGTTAGAATTACAACTATTGCAATAGTGATAAGAAAAAAAAAAGTTTTTCGAGCACCAGATCAGCATATTAGAATGATGTCATGTGACACTAAATACTGGAGTAATGGCTGCTGGAAATTATTTTAGCTTTGCCATCACAGGAATAAAATACATCATATTAAAATAGAAAACAGTTATTTAAAATTATACATTATTCTTGTTTTTACGGTACATTTATCCATCCTTTGTAAGCATAAGAGAGATTTCTCCCAACACATTAAAATTCAAAACGTTAAAATTCTTATTGACTGCAAACTTATGATATTTTAATGTGTAAAAAATAATAAATTGTA